AAAAAAAAAAAAAGGAGGATTGGCAGATGTTAGCTCAGGGCCGATCGTCCTCATACACACACACACAAAATTAAAAATTTAAAAAAAAAAAGGAAAAACTAATCCATAATACTTTCTAGTAAGTGTCTATAATAAAACCTTTTACCCCAAATCTAAAAGAGAACAGAAACACAAGGATAGCATTAATCTGTGGAATCCAACATACTTCCCAGGAATGTTCTAGGTAAGAGAATATTTGCAGAAGTTTGCCCCCAGGATGTTTTCACTGATTATTAGATTGCATAATTGCTAGAGCAGAATTGTCACTTCAAATTTGAAAGTTATAGTTTAATTTTAGATGTTAACATCTATAATATGTTTCTTTTCTGTGTCTTCCACCTTGGTTGGTTTTGGTTTCCCATAATGGAAGACCCACTTAGAGGTAACTTGAACATTACTAGGCTTGTATTATCTCATATAATGAGAAGTCCAAAAGTAGAGTAGTTCCAGAATTGATTAATTAAGTGGGTCAACAATGTGAGAAAGGACCTACGTTCTTTCACTCTCTCTGCTCTGCCATCCTTAGCATGCTGACTTTCATACTCAGGCTTGTCTCCTCATCACTGCAGAATGGCTGCCACACTTCCACTTATCACGTCCTTATACAAATACGTCAAGAGGCGGGAAAATAATTTCTTTTCAAGGATTTTTTTGTTGTTATTAGGAAGGACATTGTTTTCCTAAAGTGGCCCATCAGACTTTCAGTTGAATCTCATTTGCCAAAGCTAAGCATGTGTCCATGCCTGAGCCAGTCACTGGCAAGGGGGGTTAAATGATTGGTTTAGATTAATCCACATTTATCCCTTGAGATCTGGGAGGGCCCTGTGACTCTCATGGCAACCTATAGCCTAAACCTGAACTGAATCAGAGCTCTGTTTTTAGGGATGAAGTAGGGGTGTGCATAGGCAGCCAAAAGTGTCTGCCACAGTCAAGTTTGTAATTCTTGGCTCACATAATTTCCTCTGCCAGATAATCCATATTTGGGTCTCTAGCCATAATAGCTTTTTATATTATGAATGATATTATAATAATTGTTATTTTTTACCAAATATGTTAAAAATTAGCTATTTTAGAAATCTTTATTGGCACAAACAAATGGTTGTGATTGCCAACAGATTCTGAAATCTTGATTCCTTTTATGCATTTTAAAGTATTATTACAATAATGCCTTAAATTTATATCTCATTCTCCTATTTATAAAAATATTTTCTTACTTCAGATACTTTGTAGAAAGAGTTTTTTCCCAAATACTTTGTAGTGTTTTGAAATTCTATAAAGTCACATCCCATTTACCTCACTTCATCTTTAAAACAACAGTAAGATATAAGCAGGGCATGTAATTAACCTCCTTTTACAGAAACTTAAGAGAAGTTGAGTTAATTTTCCAGAGCCTCCTCATGCCTAAGAAGTGGCAAAATAAGTACTTGACCCCAGGTCAAAGACAGCTTAGCCCAGCTCACTGTCATCACTGTTGCAGCAGCTTGACATACTGGCATGTATCAGGATAGTGCTAAAAACATTGAAGAAGATCTGTTGAGTGAGAGTTCTCAAGAAAAATTTTAAGTAGGGAAAAAAAATTCTTATTTTTTTCTTTGATTACACATCAGATCAAATTTTATGTTTTGGTGGCCATTTCTTCTTTTTTGAATTGCTTCTTGTGTTCTAATTTCCTACTGATGGTAGTAATCATTTTCTTGTTTATTTGTAAGAGCTGTTTATATATTAAATGTAATTACTCGTTTTTTTCTTCAGCGTTCTTACTTGGTGATTTATAATTTCTGTGTTCTCCAAGAGTTGTAGGAAGTTGCACCAAGTCAGTACATAAGCTTACCTGCCAGTCTAACCATATTTAGATTATGAACATACATGTTCTATGGAAGGAAAATGTTTACTTAAAATTTAAACTCTGGAATCTGATAATAAACATTCTAAATGTCATAGCCATCGTGTCCCTTTCCAAGCTTGTGTTTCATCTGCCCTCTTTACATACCCAGCCACACTGGTCCACTGGTCAATCCCTGTCACACCCCATTTCCTGTCTCTCTGTCTTGTTTTTTTTTCTGTCCCATCTCCCTGTCTTGTTCTGTTTTCTCTCTCTCTGTCTGTTACAGCCTTCCTCTTCTCGAAGGCTTTTCTCTAGTGCAACCTCAATGAATTGTTTCCCAGCTCTGCCCTCATTTTGGTCCCCTAAACAGAATATGATCTTTCCCTCTTCTGAACTTCCAGGGTACTTCGAGCATCTCTTGTATGAAATTTGTGACATTTCACATTTAAAATGCCAGTTTTATTCTCTCATACTTACCTTTACCTTCTCCATAGCACTTAACACAGGATCTTGAATATAGTAGATATGTAGTAAAAAGGAATTTTTGCTTACTATGGTGATCCTCTTCTGTAATGAATAATTGATAATCTGATACACATTTCAAAAACTCTTCTTTCATTCCCGAATGAAATTCTTTCTTTTTTTATTGGTTATTCTTAATCTTTCTTATTTTTTCTTCCCATATTCCAATTTTCCATTTTCTTTACTTTCTCCTCTGCCACATTCCCAGCCCCTCAGCATTTTTCTTCATGTGCTTAGCCCCATGGTGCAAAGAGTTTGTTGATTCCCATGTTTATTCTCTTCTTCCTTTTGTTTATTCCTTCAATTGCTCATTTAAAAATTTCTTACTGTGTAATAGTAGCTGACAATGCAAGTGTTGAATAAGTGTAGTCCTTGCATTCTAGGAGCTCTTCAGTTATTTGAGGACACGGATTCGTAAGTAGATAAATTTCCTAACGCACCTAATGATGATGGAGAAGCAGCATTAGAGGGGAAAGTGCACAGATCCCCCAAAGTCAGACGGAACCAATTTTGAATTCCGTATTAATAACAGAGCAGTGAGAAAATTTCTCACCCTCTTTGAGCTTCATTTTTCTCCACCCGTAAAGTAGGGATGATAATTTCTTCATAACAGGATTGTTGTACAGTTTAATAAGATAATGTGTATGTAATGCCCTGGCAGGTAGACATCAAACGATTGCTACTGAGTAGTTTGTTACTGTTGTTGTTGCACTGATTCAGGGAGCTAAAGGGCGGTTGCACAGAGGAAGTGATATTTGAATATTCAAAACTACTACTCTGTTTTTCATCTGCTGGGCAGTTAAAGGGCATTTCTGTATTAAAACAGTTTGGGAAGTAGGTATCAGAAGCATGCCTGGGCCATACTTTGTGGGTGTTACCGTGATTGAAATGAGTTGTTTTTTTAGCAGTTCAGCAATCTGTTTTTATTTGTAGTGGAATTTGATCCTCACGGGTCAAATGTGTATGTTTTTCAGGTAGTTCTTCCAACGTTTATTCTGGAAAGAAGATCTCTTTTAGAAATGTATGCAGACTTTTTTGCACATCCGGACCTGTTTGTGAGGTATTTGACACAGTAGTTTCCAATTTTTTAAGATGTTACTCAATAGCTTTCTGCTTTTGCAGGATAGGTAGATTCCATTTTGCCTTTCAGACATTTCTGGGGAAAAGTGGCATTGAATATTTTGTTTATATTAGATGTCTGTCTGTTTGCTTAGGTTATGTGGTGGTGATGTTGTTAGGCACCCAAGTTAAACATTTTAAAAAATCTTGAGAGCCTATTAATAGGTAGCCAGAAGGCTATGAGTTTGTTTGATCCAGGGATTGGTAATCACTGTTTAATTATTTACACGATATCCTGATGTTTAGTTAACTGAGTTCAGCAAACTTTTCTAATGCACCTGTTGTTTGCCAGAACTTTTATGAGTTGGAGAAAGAAAAAGTCAGTGTCTTCCCTTGAGGAGCTTACAGTCTAATGTCCAGATTACAAACTGATTGACAAATTTTAAATATAAAGCTTATAGGGGCCAGCCTGGTGGTGTAGTGGTTAAGTTTATGTGCTCCGTCCGCTTCGGTGGCCTGGGGTTTGCAGGTTTGCATCCCGGGCGCAGACGTATGCACCTATTATTAAGCCATGCCGTGGCAGGTGTCCCACATATAAAGTAGAGGAAGATGGGCACAGTTGTTAGCCCAGAGCCAGTCTTCCTCAGCAAACAGAGGAGGATTGGCAACAGATGTTAGCTCAGGGCTAATCTTTCTCACAAAAAAAAATAATAATAATAAATATAAAGCTTATAATATTAGATATATATACAAAGGACAGAAGTAATCTGAAGGTGGCCTTGATTTACAAGGAGGTGAGTTCACGTTGCTTTTCAGTGGAAGCAGGAAGATTTGATTTGTATTGGGATGTTCTAATCTGTCTTCTCGGATGGCATTCCTTGGCCTTGGACTGTGGTTTATTGAAGCCAGATACAAATCACTGAGGGTTTCACAGTGGGTGGGCTCATTGGCTAACATTGATATATATCTTTCCTTCTTGATGAAGATTTAAGAAAACCATTTAACCAATTCCCAAAGGGCAGAAATTCAAATAAATATGGCACCGTTTAAATTAATACATAATTGAACAAATAAAATGTAAATATTTATTGGTAACATGCATAACTAAAGATGGAAAGTACCAGTTATGCATTAGATATAGATTTCAGATTTAAGGATAGTTTCTATGTATGAGAATTTAAACTTTGAGGTCCCTAGAGGAACCACTTAAAAATACAAAGTACAGCTATAAAGGCAATAGATAAGATTAAATGGAATTCTAAAAATACTCAATTGCAAAAAAGGAGGAAAGGAGAAATAATGGAACAAGGAACAAAGGGGACAAATACAAAACAAATACCAAAATGGTAGAGTTAAACCAGCTATATCTGTAATTATGCTAAAGGTAATACACACTCCATTTAAGAGAATAGTTCTTGTCAGGCTGGATAAAAAAGTAAGGTCCATCTGTATGCTATTTGCAAGAGAGAGACTTTTAATATGAAGACACTTAATTAAAAGTAAAAGGATGGGGGCTGGCCCCATGGCCTAGTGGTTAACTTCGGCACACTCCCCTTTGGCGGTCCGGCTTGGTTCCCGGGCACAGACCTGCACCACTCATCAGCGGCCATGGTATGGTGGCGACCCACATACAAAATAGAGGAAGATTGGCACAGATATTAGCTCAGGGCAAATCTTCCTCAAGCAAAAAAAATACAGGAAGATTGGCACAGATGTTAGCTCAGGGTGACTCTTCCTCAGCAAAAAAAAA